TGTGAGGGTCTGAGGGGCACCGGAGCTCCCTGGGAATGCTGAGGCTGGAAAAATGCACCTTTATGCCTCTGTGTGTGCCTCTTCCCTGTGTGCTTCTCCCCACTGAAGTGTGACAAGGGCACGTGCCCTGGCTCGAAGCAGTGAAGAGCTGTGGCTGTGCCAGGGCAGAGCACCCAGGTGAGAACCAGCTTCAACACAAGGTTCACCTGGAGTCAGCGTGGAATTCCCAGAGCCTGGGGGGTTTGTGAGGGATGTTCACCCAGAAGTGTGGACACAACAAAGCCTTGGAGAGCTGGCTCAGCTGCAGGCAGCAGGGGCAGGGCAGAAAGAGGCAGCCCCATCGACTGGGCACACTGAAACTGGGCAAGACCCTTGTACAAGGTCCTGCTCGCTCTGCTCCTGAACCACGACTGTGTGCATATAAAACGTTCTGACTGTAACAGCCAGATCCTGCTCTGTTCTCTGCTGCATTCCTGATTTTCCCTCCCCAGGTCAGCTCTCCCAGAGGGAGGTTTCCACACTGGCTCCTGCCAATGGTTACTGGCAATAACTTCTCGGTGCCCTTCAATGCAGCTGCTCGAGGCAGCAGATGGGGATGGGGGTTGAAGCTGAGCCAGACTGGCTGCTTTGCAAGGATAGCTAGCTCAGGATAAACTGGGCTTATGCAAGTAGCTCCATCTACTCCCAAAGTTCCCATTCTCTCCTGTAAATACCTATTGAGATACTGGTGTTACTGGGAGCAGTTTTACTGAGGTGAGCATTGCCCACAAGCTGGAGCAGGGCTCTGCACCATCCCCTTCCCTGAAATCACGACTCTGCATGGTAACAACACCCACAGGCACAAAGCAAGGGAAGGACTGTGAGCCTTCCACATGGAAATTTTGAAGGTTTTCCTGGTTCTCTGCATGAGGGGAATCACGCAGGGGATGTGGCTTTTAAGAAGGTTTCTGCTCCAGGGAATCACGCTGTGCTGCTGGTTCGGGGCAGGGATGTGTCATCCTGCTCCTGCAGGTGTTAGGACTCCTTTTTGCCAGTTCTTCCAAGAAAACATCTCCCGTGGGCAAACCTGGCTGGCAGGACTCCCTGACGCCAACACAGGCATCCTCAGCTTTCATCAGTGACAAGCCTCCCACGCCGTGACACGTCCCCTTCGCAGGGGCAGATCTTGAGCTCCCAAGCTTTTGGCTCCAGTTTCTGGCTCCTGCTGGTACATGGACGAGCTGGAAGCAAAGCATCCTCTACCCAGCTTGGCTTCCAGTTTGGGAGCATCTCAGGCTTTTGGAGAATTTAGGTACGTGGAGGTGGTGTCGGTTGTTCTCTGTATCCCTGGGTATTTAAGGGAACTCAAGGAACAGTGGGGGCATGGAAAGGAGGAAAGGAGCAGCTGTCTCTCTGGATTTACAGGGATCAGCAGCTGAGCAAGTCCTCAGCATAACCAGGGTGTAACTGGGAGCAGAGTCTGCCTCACATACCATATGCTCCCAATCCACTACGCTCAATCAAGCCTAATAAAATTGATAGGGGAGCATTGAAAATCTCGTGATTAATTCTTTATGATCTGTAATAGGGGAGCTGTGTGCCAATTACTCAAGTAAATCATTCATCAGAAAATAAATAGAACTAACCTCCAGCACAAACACTAGAGGATTTCCACTAGGATTGCAGGTCTGGATTGCAGCATTACAACGCTGGTAACTGTACATTATCTGATGGAGGACACAGGAGTACCTGCAGTTTTGCTGCTTTTCCCCAAGGTTTCGGCTCTGTGCTGCAGCATCATTTGTTGTTCTTCACCACACGTTTCAATGCTCTGTCCTTGATCTCCATGACCCATCAGCACAGGCTCTGCAGGTTTGCAAGTGCCAAACCCACAGGGATCAGCTGTATTTCAGGGCAGGTTTGAACATGAGGACCATGACACAGGGACATGGACAAAAAGGAACGGGAATAAGACTTGTCTTTTATTTTCCCAGCAAGGAAAGCAATCATTTGGCCTGGAAACTTTTTCCTGGTCTTGCAAGGAGAGCTGTCCCTCTGTGCTGAAGTTACCGGACTGCAGTTTCCCAATCAATGGCCCATTTCTAAGGGAAAACCATCCAAGAGCACTCCCTGCCCTAGATTTCCACATGTGGGCAATTTCCCGGGTTGTGTTTGAAATTTGAAATGCTCCTGAACAAACTGCAGCTTGCCAAGCCACAGTGTCCTGCTAACACACATTCAGCACCCTTTGCCATGATGCAATTCCATACTCATCAGGGTCTCTTGGGACCGTGGTGGGATTTCAAGGGGCACTGAGGGAGTTCATGCTGATAAAGGACTTGGGAAAGCTGAGGGCAATGTCCTATTCCTGAGCTCGGTGCTCAGAAAGGGAGAGCTGGATTAAAGGCATGCCATGGGGAGAAGGGGAGGGATGGGCACATAAAATCCAACCTTTGCAGAAAGCCCTCTTTGTCTCCTTCACAGCTGCAGGGATGTGTCCAAGGTGGGATGAAGGCCAGCACGGAGGGGCCCCACTGCCACAAACTTCTTTCCTTCTTACATGGAAAAACTTCCATGGACAGGGAATTTGGCAGTGGAAACTGTGAGGAGGCTCAAGTGTGATTCGCTGCCCCAAACACAACCGAGCTGGTGGCAGGACACTGTGTTCTGCAGCAAGTGCCTTCACTGGGGTGACAGGAGAGACATTTCCATGACAGCCCAGCTCTGCTGACCCTAAATGTGGAGCCAGTGAGACACGTAATCCCTCTGCACCTCCTCACCATCCATCCCTCAGCCAGACCCACTCCTCCTCCCACTGTGCCACAACACCCTTGTCCTTTCCTGGCAGCGCTGGCATCACCTTCCCCCTGCAGCCAGGAAGATAGTTTGGAGATTTCTCCCTGCTGATTCCTCCTGGAGAGGGACATTAGCATCTCACACATCGCAGCCACCATCGCTGCCCCCACCGCATCCCCATCGCCCTTCCTGCTGCTCCCAGCACCCAGCTGGTGGGACTGAGAACAAACATCCTCCCACCTGCTCCCGCGGCCCAGCCCGGGAGATGGCAGAGGCGATAATTACACACTTGGCACAGCAAAATTATCCAGCGCGGGGGAGAAGAGGCTGGAAGCAGCTGGAGATCATCCATGGGGAACGCTGCTCCCACCCACAGTGCCTCGGTGTGTGCCTCACCCCAAAGCAGCCCAGCTCATGCCGTGAATGTGCTCCTGGGGCCCCGTGTGAGCACCCCGAGTGCCGGGGCTGGCGGTGCAGATGGGAAGGTGGGGATGTGCTGGTGCTCCGAGGGGTTTGGAGCAGCAGAACTAAGGAAGGCTGGCTTCCCGTGGAGCCAAACTGGGATCCCTGGGGCCTGCTGAAGTGTATCCTCCAGAGATGCCATTCTCCCGGGGAAGGCTTCAAGTGAGCCATCACTCATGCACACTTTCGGTGCCTGCCAGGACATGAGTACTCGGATATCCTGTCCCTTTCCTGCTCCCATGAGACCTCTGGGAGGGACACTTGCAGCTCATTCACACCAAATTCCTTTCTGAAGAAATTTATTTCCTTGCAAAGCAGGATCTGCAAAAGCACAGACCCTCAGGGGTCTACAGATGACACCACCCTATTTTCCAGACAGGTCCAGGACTGCAGCCTATGAGGTGCACCAACCTGAAACATCCTAGAGAGGACTGAAGCAAAAAAAATAACATGAGTAGTAATAATAACAACAATAAAAAATTATATACTTCATAGGCTGAAGGGAGAAGGCTGCAATGAATTGTCCTTAAAATACGTTTAGAGTTGGTGGCTTTAGATTTTGCCCTTGAATGAGTAACATTGGTCAAGTGACATTTAATTTCCTCTGCCGGGGAGCCACCGCAGTTATTTCCCAGCTCTTGGCGCTGGTGTGAGCACTGAACTGGGACAGGGCAGGGGATGGGCAGGGATCACAGAACCATGGAATCACAGAACGGCTTCGGTTGGAAGGGACCGTAAAGATCATCTCGTTCCACCCCCAGCCACGGGCTGGGAAACCTTGCGCTGGGCCAGGTTGCTCCAAGCCCAGTCCAGCCTGGCCTGGAACACTTCCAGGCAAGGGGCAATCACAGCTTCTCCGGGCAAAAGGGAATGGGGAGGGATCAGGCAAGGGGCAGGCAGGGCAGCTGGCAGGGAAGGGGCAGGGGCTGGCAGGGGCTGACAGGGGACAGATGAGGGCAGGCAGTGCCTGTCTCTGCCCCCGCAGCAGCGGTGCCCACTCGGTTCTCGCTCCCTCTCCCACCAGGGCCGTCCCACTCCCAGCCGCTCTCCAGCTCCCGCTGCGGCCCCGGGGGGTCCGTCCCGCCCGCTCCCGCTGCTCCCGTGGGCACGGTGGAAGTCCAGCCGCGGCCGCGGGGCCGCTCTCCGTCCGGCCGCGGCCCGACACCATCACGCACCCGCGGCGTGAGGTCAGTGCTGCCCCCGGCTCGCAGGCCCCGGGCCCGCCGCGGCTCCAGGCCCGGCTCCTCCCGGCGGGGCGGGACCGCGGCTCCCGGCAGCGCCACCGCGGGCCC